TATGAGTTAGAATTATACATTTTTCTCCAGCTCTGTCTGGGACCCTCTACTGTGATCCTTGTCAGAGAAGTTGGTGGCCGTAGCCAGGCACCATCTAGTTGTCCTGGTCTCAGTCTGGTGGAGGCTGTGGTACTCGTGGTCCGTTAGTCCTTTTTCAGACTATTTTTTTCCCTTGTGTCTTTGGTTTTCTTCATTCTCCCTTGCTCCAGACGGATGGGACCAGTGGAGTATCTTAGATGGCCGCTCACAAGCTTTTAAGACCACAGACGCTACTCACGAAAGTAGAATGTAGAACATTTTATTTATAAACTATGTTATGCCAATTGAGCTAGATGTTCCCCAAGACCATGGTCCCTACAGCCCTCAGCCCAGTAATTTCATCCCTCAGGGAGTATGGATGTGTCTATGGAGTTTCCATGACCTTGCCTTGGACAAGTTGTGTGGGCCTTCCCAGTATTGTGTACTGTTTTACCCTTCACCAAAGTTACCACTTATCTATTGTCTATTTAGTATTTTTCCCTCCCTTGTAACTATCAAAGATTGTTTCTTTTTGTGTGTAAACCTTTTCATGAGTTTTTGTAATAGTGGTCTCATACAATATTTGTCCTTTTGTGATTGACTTATTTCACTCAACATGACACCCTCCAGATTCATCCACGTTGTGAGATGCTTCGCAGATTCATCGTCGTTCTTTATCGCTGCATAGTATTCCATTGTGTGTATGTACCATAGTTTGTTTATCCATTCATCTGCTGACTGGCACCTAGGTTGTTTCCATCTTTTTGCTATTGTGAACAATGCTGCAATGAACATGGTGTGCATACGTCTATTTGTGTGATGGCTCTTATTTCTCTAGGATATATTCCTAGGAGTGAGATTGCTGGATCATATGGTATTTCTATTTCTACCTTTTTAAGGAAGCGCCATATTGTTTTCCAAAATGGTTGTACTATTTTGCATTCCCACCAGCAGTGCATAGGAGTTCCAATCTCCCCACAGCCTCTCCAACATTTGTTATTTTGTTTTTTTTGATTTATGCTAGTAAATCTACCACCACCAACTTCTCTGACAAGGATCACAGTAGAGGGTCCCGGACAGAGCTGGAGAAAAATGTATAATTCTAACTCATAAAAAAAAAAAAAGACCAGACTTCCTGGTCTGGCAGAGACTGGAGAAACCCCAAGAGTATGGCCTCTGGACACCCTTATAGCTCAGTAATGAAGACACTCCTGAAGTTCACCCTTCAGCCAAATATTCACCAAAAACCTGTTGCCATCAAGTCAGTACCAACGGTGAGATGGTATCTAATTGTGGTTTTGATTTGTATTTCTCTAATAGCCAGTGATCGTGAGCATTTCCTCATGTGCCTGTTAACCACTTGAATGTCTTCTTTGGTGAAGTGTCTGCTCATATCCTTTGCCAATTTTTTAACTGGATTATTTGTCTTTTTGTTGTAGAAGTGTTGGATTTTCCTATAGATTTTAGAGATTAGACCTTTGTCAGATTTGTCATAGCCAAAAATTTTTTCCTAGTCTGTAGGTTCCCTTTTCACTCTTTTGGTGAAGTCTTTTGATGAGCGTGTTTAATTTTTAGAAGATCCCAGTTATCTAGCTTATCTTCTAGTGTTTGTGTATTGTTAGTTATGGTTTGTACCTATTAACGCTGTATATTAGGGCCTCTAGCGTTGACCCTATTTTTTCTTCTATGATCTCTATAGTTTTTGGTTTTATATTTAGGTCTTTGATCCATTTTGAATTAGTTTTGACTTTTTTTTTTTTTCCCCCTGTATAAAGCTTTCCACTAGGCCCTGTGTTGTTCTCTAACTATCCAAGACTGGATATTTGCATGAGGGGTATGTAAACAATGCCTTGGCCTAAAACCTAGAATGTAAATAGAACATGAGTATGGGGTCCAAGTCCTCTTGTAGTGATCTCTTTTGGTTGGAGCGAGGTAGTGTTGAAAGGAAAGCTGCCTGTCCTTAGTAAACCACAGCAGCTTCAAAGGACTCAACCAGTAAATACTTCCTACAAGCTGGGTTCCCTACATGTACACATCACTGGGGGAGATATAAAGGCATAAAAGGTCTCAATTCCTAGGCCTTTGTAGGAAGCTTGCCCACTCACTGGGATAAAATATACACACACAAAAAGGTAAATGAAAACAGTACATTATAAAGGACCAAATATATGGTACTGAAAGTTTACCTTTGTGGCAAGTCACAGGTGGATTCTTAACCTGGACCTCCTGAAACTGTTTCCAAATGTGTGTGTGCACATGTGTGTGTGCATACACACACATGTGCTTACATATGTATATATTATTTTAGAGAAAGGTGCTAAAATTTCCATCAGATTCTCAAAATGGCTCAACTCCCTCCCCTTGAAATAGTACATACACATATAAATAACAATAAAGGCCCTCAAAAGTAAAATACCAAAATTGATAATATAATGTGGTCCTAGGATTCCTGGCACCTGACTCAATGGTCTGTCTCCACCTGGCTTATACCCACCTGTTGCTGTGGCAGAACTTCCTAAAGCATTAGGGGCTAAGTTTATGACTAGTCTGACACATTTTACCACTGTTCCAAATTTTGATATGGACATACCCTGAAGCTGAGCGAGGGGAATCCATCGTTTGAATTTGGTACCATAATACTCAGTCATGACATCAGGATAAGGTTAGTATACCCAGCCCCCACAGCTCAGTTTAGGGAGACCACATAGATGTGATATTGGTAGAACAGCCTCTTTATGACCGATCAGCAAGAGCACATGAAAGTTTAGTTGTAGAAAAAGCACACAAAATTTGAAACCTGAATTAATCTTTACCTGGGAAGGCAAAGATTGGGCATTCAAAGTACAAACATATGCAGTCCAAGTGCTGGGTATTCTAGGCATGTGGGAAGCAATAAAAAAAAAAAAAAAGATGTGAATGAATAAGTGAAGTGAGGCATAGGTAGTAAAGAAGGTTGAGATGAGGAACAAGATGGTAGAGGTAGAGACTGCAAGAATTATGTCTCTCCCTTATTGGGAAGCAGCATAGTTCCCACCCTTTGGAAGCTTAATGTTCAGTAGGAATGCAGGCATCCAGCTTCAATCATTCGACTAAATCATCACTATAGTCCCAATAAGGAGCCTTGGTTGCACAATGGTTAAGTGCTTTGCTGCTAACCAAAAGGTTGCAGTTCAAACCCATCCAGTGGTTCCGCAGGAGAAAGACCTGGCAATCTGCTCCAGTAAAGATTACAGTCTTGGAAACCCTATGGGGCAGTTCTACTCTGTCCTATGGGTCACTATGAGCTGGAATCTCAATATTGTGTCTGGCATAGAGTGGCAATAAATGAATGTTTACTTTAGGAATGAATAGTACAGGTAACCTGCACTGTTTGAAATCTCACTGTCTGAACTCAGGAGCCAAACAGATTCAGATAATGCAAAGTCCCATGCTACCTAAACACATTCACTATTTGAAGAGAGCTGGAAGGATGTGGAGAGTGAGTGATATCTGTGCTGCTGAATTTTTCTGATGCTTCTGTGCAGTAGTAGGGAAGATAAAATATATAAGCTTGCTCGTAAGGGACAGCCTAGAGGGGTAGATACTACTCTACCATAGTGTATCAGTTGAGAATGTATTTGGCTGCAGGTAACAGAAGTCTGACTGCTATGGCTTAACTACAAAGGGTTAATTTTTCTTACAGAACAAAGAGGTCTGGAGTTAGTGATGTAGCAACTCCACTAGAACAACAATGTCTCAGGCTTCTCCTGTTTCTCATTTTTGTCCTCTTCCTTATCACCTTCTTGGCTGCTCTACTTCCAGCCTGTACTGCAGGCAAGGAAAAGGGCAAGTAGAGAGAAGAAAGAGCAGTGCCTACCATCAAGAAGGCAAAATTTTTTCCAGATATCCTTGGCAGACCTTTGATTATGTTTCACTGACCAGAAATGTGTTACATAACCACCCCTCGCTGCAAGCAGTCTGGAACAGCGAGTATATTGACATCCAAAAAAAACCAGGGTCTACTGCTATGGAAGGAGTGGAAGGAGAGAATGGATGCTGGGTAAGAACTAATGATGTCTTCCACAAGTGTGATAAGTGCTATTCATCCATTCACCAAAAAAAAAAAAAAAGTTAAGCACTTTGTGCCAGGCACTGTTCCAGGTACTAGGGATGCAGCAGGAAATGAGACAGGCAAGGTTGCTGATTTACTGGAGCTTACACTCTGGTAGAATAAAAGTGACAATAAACAAATGAGTAGACATGATCACTTCAGATAGAACTAAAAGCTATAAAGACAAAGACAGAATCACATGAGAGTGATGGTCAAGTGATTAGAAGTCTGTCTGAGGAGGTGATCACAGTGATTGATCTGCATTATCTGTAGATCTGCATCTACCTGCATAAAATCACTTTATCCTCCCAGCAAACTTAAGTAGGTACCATTTTTATCTATACCATAAAAATATAAGGAAACTGGGGCACAGAATGGTTAAGTAACTTGCCAAAAGTCATGCAACTAGTAAGTAGCAGAGCTGGGCTTTGAACCAAGGCAGTTGTACTCTACAGCCTACTCAACCACTGAGTTATGCCACCTCTCTGCATGACAAACAGGATACTGTTCCAGTTATCTATCACTGCTTAACAAACCACCCCAAAATTTAGTGGCTTAAACACCATCATTTATTTTGCTAATGAATCTTCAATTTGGGCAGGGTTCAGTGGGGACAGCTCATTGCCACTGCAGAAAATGTCAGCTGGCGTGGACTGATTGGGAGCTGGAGGATGTACTTCCAAGATGGCTCATTCAGATGGCTGGCAAGTTGATGCTAGTTTTTGGTTCTCCATGTGGGCCTCTCCACGGGCAGCTTGGTTTTCCTCACACAGTGTCTGAGTTCCAAAAGTGAGCATCCCAAGGACCAGGCAGAAGCTGAATCACCTTTTATGACCTAGCCTCAAATCCAAAGGGAGGGAACTACACCTCACCTCTCAGTAGTATGAGTGTCAAAGTCACACTGTCAGAAAAACATGTGGGGTGTGAGATATTGTGGCTGTTTCTGGGAAGTACAATCAACCACAGATGCACTGGAGGCAAAAGGAGGGATATCAAATCCAGTCTAAGATGGGGGTAAAGAGGTGGTCTTTGAAAGTAGGGGGTGGGAGGAGGAGGAGGATGTTGATACTTGAGCTGAATCTTTCTTAAAAAACTAAGTTGAAATTCTGGCTCCACCATCCATTTATTCAATTCATTAAAGAAATACTGAGCATCTGCTATGAGTCAGGTGCAATGCTGGACTCTGTGGATACAATCATTAATAAGACACAGTTTCTGCCCTCAAGAGCTTACAGTTTAGTGGGAGATTCAGAGAAGTCTGTGAGCCTCTTGTCATTCTGCTTCTTTTACAGAGAGGCAGGAGGGGCTTTTAAAATACACATCTGATCACGCCAGCTTCCCTGTTTAAAGTCTTCAAGCCTTCCCAATCCTCTTAAGATGAAGAAAGAAACCCTTACCATGGTCCACAAGGCCCTGCAGGATTTATTCCCTGCTTACCTTGCCAGGCTCTTCCTTGTCTCCCACATTGGCTTTTCAGTACCTTCAACTCCCCCAAGCTCCTCTCTGTCAGGACCTTCTCGTAAGTTATTCCTGTCTGGAATACTCCACCCTCCACTCTTCATTTAGACAATTCCTGCTCCTTAAAGTCTCTGCTTAAATGTCACTTTCTCAGAGAGGTCTTCCCTGATCCCTCCAATTACGTTGAGTCTCTCATCATGCCCTCTCAGGCGGCCCTGAAACATAATTATTATAAAAATATTAGAGTAATTAGTTGTTTAATGTCCATCTTCCTCCCTTCTTAGACTGTAAGATTCATGAGGGTAGGCACCATGTCTCTTACTTGTCACTGAATACCAGTAGCTAGTCCAGTGCCCCACCCATAGCAGTTACTCTGTAAATATTCACAGAATGAAAAAATGTGATAAACGTTAAAAAGGACCAAGCACAAAATGTCTCAGAACCATACATCAGGAACACCTAACCCAGTCCTGTGAGATGAAGGAAGGCATTCTGGATAAGTGCCATCCCAAGACGGGACCTGCAGGATAAGGAGTTAGCCAAGTAGAGAGGAGGGTGAGGGGCTAGATGGAGGAGAGAATGCTTCCTACAAAGAATAAATAGCATGTACAAAGGTGAGAGAGAATGTGGAGAGCTCAGAAGCAGAAAGAAGTGCAGCCTGATGAAGCTAAGTGGAGACAGGCAAGGAGGGGCAATGAGAGATGTTGAGGCCTAACCAGGTTATGTGAGGATTTGTGAACCAGGTTAAGGTTTTTTTAAACTGGGATATAATTCACATACCATAAAATTCACCCCCTTAAAGTATACAACTCAGGCTTAAGGGTTTTACAGGGAGAATGACATTATTAGATTTGCATTTTAAAAGGGTAACTACTACAATGCGGAGAAGAGATTGGAGGGGAAACAGAGTGGAGACAGGGAGACTAGTGGATGCTACTGCAGCAGTCCAGGAAAGACATGAAAGTTACCTGAACTAGGTTAGTGGCGGTGGTGATCAGAGAAGATGGACTGAAGTTAGGAGAGAACTGCATGACTTGGTAACTTATTGGATTTGGGGGTGGGGAGAGTCTGAGGAAGAGGGAAGAGTCAAGGATGACATCCAGGATTCTGGCCTGAGTGACTAGGACGATGGTGGATCCACTGACTGAGAAGAGGAATGCTGGAAAAGGAATGTTTGGGGAGGAAGATGGTGAATTTTTTGTTGGATGTATGAGGCAACGTTGGGACATGCGAATGCAGATGTTCAGATGTGGTTGGATATAAGGGACAAGATCCTAAAAGAACTCTGAATTAGAACTCTAAAGAAAACCCAAAAAATGAACCGACTGCCACTGAGTTGATTTTGAATCATAGTGACATTATAGGGCAGAGGAGAACTGCCCCATAGGGTTTCCAAGGCTGTAATCTTTACAGAAGCAGACTGCCACATTTTTCTCCCACGGAGCAGTTGGTGGGTTCAAATGCCAACTCTTTGGTTAGCAGTTGAACACTTAACCACTGCTCCACCAGGGCTCCTTGCTAGAGCTGTAGATGTGGGAATTACTAGCACAGATAATAACTATAGCCAAAGGCAAGAATGAGATCACCTCAAGAATAAAGTGTGATCTAAGCAGAGGGCCTGGGAAGAGCAATATTTAAGGGAAGGAGGAAGAAAAGGAGACTCAGAAGGAAGCCAGAGAGGTGGGAGAAACCCAGGAAAATGGTACCATGGAAGCCAAAGGAAGAGCGCACAAGAGAAGGGAGTGGTAAACAGTGTAAATGTTACACAGAGGTTAAGTAAGATGAGCACTTGAGTGTCCATGGATTTAGCAAACAGAGGGTCAACGGTGGTTTTGTTAAAGAAGTCAGGTTGTATTTGGATGAGGTTTTGTAATTGTTGTAGTTGTAATGGGATTTTCTTAGAAAATCAGCTGCAGAGGAGAGGAGTTTTTTGGCTGTGTAACCATGCACAAAATACTTACCTTCCTTTAGGTTCCATTTCTTCAACTATAAAATAGAAACGATAGAAATAAGTTGTTTTTGTTGTGTGTCGTCGAGTCCATTCCAACTCACAGCGACCCTATAGGACAGAGTAGAACTGTCCCATAGGGTTTCCTAGGCTGTAATCTTTTTTTTTTGAAATCATTATTATTATTTTTAATTGAACTTTAGATGAAGGTTTACAGAACTAACTTCTCATTAAACAGTTAGTACATATGTTGTTTTATGGCATTGGTTAACAACCCCATGACATATCAGTACTCTCCCTTCTCAACCCTGGGTTCCCTATTACCAGTTTTCCTGTTGCCTCCTGCCTTCTAGTCCTTGCCTCTGGGCTGGTGTGCTCCTTTAGTCTCGTTTTGTCCTATGGGTCTGTCTAATCTTTGGCTAAAAGGTGAACCTCTGGAGCAATTTCATTACTGGTCTAAAAGGGTATCCAGGAGTCATACTCTCAGGGTTTCTCTAGCCTCTGTCAGGCCAGTAAGTCTGGTCTTTTTCTGTGAGTTAGAATTTTGTTCTACATTTTTCTCCAGCTCTGTCCAGGACCCTCTATTGTGATCCCTGTCAGAGCAGTCAGTGATGGTAACTGGGCATCATCTGGTTGTACTGGACTCAGTCTGGTGGAGGCTATAGTAATTGTGGTCCATTAGTCCTTTGGACTAATCTTTCCCTTGTGTCTTTAGTTTTCTTCATTTTCCCTTGCTCCTGAAGAGGTGATACCAGTGGTGTACCTTAGATGGCCCTAGGCTGTAATCTTTATAGGAGCAGATTGCCAGGTCTTTTCTCCTGTGGAACTGCTAGTGGGTCCAATCTTTTGGTTAGCAGTTAGCAGCCAAGTGCTTTAACCATTGCACCACGAGGACTCCTTAGAAATAGGTAAGGTGGCACTAAGAACAATAGGCATAAAACAGGACATGTCTCCCTAAACAGAAGCTACCTTATAGTGTTGAGCAGATTAAATGAAATAAGGCATGGGAAAATACCCAGTGCTGTATAGGGTCCTTGGAATAAGCACTCCAAAAAAAAAAAAAAGTTTCCCTTTCCTTGTGCTATCCACTCTTTATTTAGTAACTAAATGTTGGTGCAGTGGTTAAGAGCTTGGCTGCTAACCAAAAGGTCGGCTGTTTGAATCCACCAGCCGCTCCCTGGAAACCCTTTAGGGCGGTTCTACTCTGTCCTATAGGGTAGCTATGAGTCGGAATTGACTCAACAGCAATGGGTTTTTTTTGTTTGTTTGTTTCCCTTGGGATTTCCTGAGATTTAGTGGTACTTGGCATCTAGGTATCATTTGATTAGAAAATTAGTAGACCGAATCTGTGAACACAGATCTCCAGCCTAACAATAATGTTTGTACCTCCATGAGGGGAATTATTTGAGTCCTGTACAATGTGATTTGGTTCAGAGTTGAACTTACATAAGGTGGGGGAAAGCAAAAAAATGAGGCCAACTACTGGGAGCAATCAGCTCTTTGCTACTTATGTTTAAGGTGCTAGTCATAACTCAAGTTGTGAATCCTGTCATTTTGGAATCAACTTAAAAGTGAATCTCTCCAAAGTAAGGAATGGCTATATAGTAAACTTTATTGTTTGGAGTAACAGCTACCAGTTATCAAGTGCCTTATTATAGCCAGTGTTTTATGTAAGTCAACTCACTTAGTCCTCACAACCATGTAAGGCAGGCAATAAATAACCCTGATTTACAGTTGAGGAAGCTGAAACCTGAAGGATAAGTAGCTTGCCCAGGGTCACAATTAGTAAGTAACAGAGCTTGGATTACAGGCACTACCTCTCTGACTCCAAAGCCCAAACTCCTTCTCTAATAGAGGGAGTGGTGCTACAGGAAATCTGAAAATAAACTTTATTATTTGGCTCTGGAATACACTTTAGAAATTACACAGTTTTGGAATATACAGAAACTTAAAAAAAAAAAATCAATTTACTAATTATATCTAATTTAGTCTGAAATTATAATGACTCTCCTTGAATGGAGAGATAGGTGGTGAAAGGGCCAAGATCAGGTGAAGGGGCAAGAGGAAGCCAGCTTGGGCTTAGTGTTTACCATTACAAATCTATACCCTGAAAGATAGTTAATCAGCTGGGAAGGATGTCAGGATGATTCTGCTGGAACAACTGTAGCTTGAGAACAGATAGAAAGCAGGGTATTCTAGTTGGCTAGTCAATAAAAAAACTACTAAGAAATTGTTAAAAGGCAATGTCAAGAGGAAACAAAAGTTTGGCTTTTGCCATTTTGTATAGGAATATTATATTCAGTTTCCATCATAGTGGTCAGTCAAAGCAGAGTTAAAAGAAACTGAGAGAAAGCAAAGACAAAAGATTTGGGGCTTAAATCTTCCTCTTTTTGTTAAGGTATTCCCTTACTCAATGCAGGGCAGGGGAAAGGATTTAGCTAAAAGGCAGCAATAGCAATTTAAGGTGCTATTGAGCAGATTAGGTAAAATCCTTTAATTGAGAAGACATACTGCACTACATGGATTCTTCATTAGGTACTAGAGGTACAGAGAACTCTTCCACAGCTCAGAAATGTTAAGTATTTCTAAAAGGATGCCACTCTATCATATCAAGATAAGCACTTAGAAATAAACTAATTATGCCCTTTAAGCCAGATTCTTTCTCAAATCCTTGACAATGGCACCCCAATTCTTGAGTCATGGTATCACCTGATTGTCTCCTTTTCTTCATCAAATCCATCAAGGTACAAGAGAATCGAAAGAGCCTGGGCATAAGTGCCTGTTTCTCTTTTCAACTGCTCTGACCTTGGACAAATTATTTAACCTCCCTTTGCCTGTTTCCTCATCTGTAAAATGGAGATTATTATCGTTTCTACATCATAAGATTATTGGAAGGGTCAATTGAGTTTGTATATATTAAGTACTTAGGCTAGTTCCCGGACACAGAATAAAACACTCAATAAAGATTAGTAATCACATGAAGAGTGCCCAGAACAGAAGCTCAAAAGAGACAAGGAACTTCCCCCAGAGCCAACAGAGAGAAAGCCTTCCCCTAGGGCCAACACCCTGAATTTGGACTTTTAGCCTCCTAAACTGTAAGAAAATAAATTTGTTACAGCAAAAAAAAAAAAAAAAAAAAAAAAAAGAGCAATCATCATTTTACTGTTCATCTATTTGCACATTATAATTTATTTTTGTATTGCTTCTGTTGGTCTTTTTATTGTTGATTTTTATGAATTCTTTATTTCATCAAGAATACTAATACTAGCTCACTATCTTCCTTTCCACTCCCTTACTCCTGGTCCCTAATACAATGTTGGCGTATTCTGGAGCCAGCACCTGGCCCAGCAGCTTCCTGATCACAGCAGAGGTAGGCAACAGATCTTTGGTGGGCCAGCTCTACAGTGTTTTTCTCTTTCCTGAAAGCCCAGACTGCAGTACTTCTCTGGCCCTTCCAACAATTTTGTAAGCCCTAATTTCCAGGATAAAATGCCTTTCTGCTTAAAAGAGCAAGAGTAGGTTCTGTTATCTCCAACTCTGTCATGACACACAATATTTGCTGAATGAATAAATGGTTTGTCAGAAATGATACAGATATTTTCCTGGTTTGTCTTTTAATTTTGTTTATGATGTTTTCTTACAGACATTTTTTATTCAGGTTAATCGATATTTTCCTGTATAGTTGTTGCATGTATGTTTGTTAAGGCCTTTTTTACCTCTAAGATCAGGAAAATATTCATTTACATTTAGTTCTAGTTCTTTTAAGTTTTGTTTTAAATTTAGTGCTTTAATCCATCTGAAACTATTTTGGTAAATGGTGTGAAGTAAGGACGTGATTTTTATATTTTCTACATAATTTTCCATTTACCAGTGATACATTTTTGCCCCACTGATTTAAAATATTACCTTTACCATATATTAAATACTTGGAGTAGCCAACAAATATATACAGAGTGCCTATGCTGTGCCTGGCAATGTGCTGGATTGCCGTAATAATGAGCTAGGTAACAGAGTCTGATGAGAGAAAAAGGGTAATATGGTAGCACACAGGAGGGGCACCTATCATAGGCATGGTGAGTCAGGAAGTTTTATTTGCTTACTGTATGACAAACATGTGCTAAGGACTTTAAATGAATAATTCCATTGACTTCACATGTTAAGTTTCACAAAAATAAGACTTACTTACAGCCATTTTAGGAGGCTGGCTGCTAACCAAACTGTCGGCAGTTTGAATCCACCAGCCACTCCTTGGAAACCCTATCGGGTAGTTCTACTCTGTTCTATAGAATCGCTATGAGTTGGAATTGACTCAGTGGCAACAGGTTTGGTTTTTAGTTTATAGCCATTTTGGTTGAAGAAACTGAAACCCAGAGAAGTGGAGACAGGATACGGACCCAGATCTCTCTGACTCCTGAGTCCAAGCTCTTAAGTACAGTGTCTAACCACTAATCCAAGCAGTACTGCCTCTTTGAAGGGGAACTGAGGAGGAGCCAGAGAGGAAGGAGAAAAACCAGGAATGTGAAATCACAGAAGCCAAGCAAAGACTATTTCAAGAAGGGAATGGGCAAGTTAAGAACTAAGAAATATCCTCTGAATTTAGCAAATGGGAGGTTGTTGGTAATCTTGGTGAAAGCAGTTTCAGTGGAGTGGCGGGCTCAGAGGGTTGGAAAATGAGTGGGGAAGTGAAGTAGATAGTGAATGCAGATAACTCTTTCAAGAGGCTTGGCTTTGAATGGGTGTAGAAAGGTAGGGTGGCAGCTAAACAGACCCAGAAGATTCCTTTTGAAGATAGGGAGATTTGAAAACATTTAAATGTGATTGAAGCAGCCCTGGTGGTGCAGTGGTTAAGCACTTGGCTGCTAACTGAAAGCTCGGAGGTTTGAACCCACCAGCAACTCCTTGGGAGAAAGATGTGGCAGCCTGCTTCCATAAAGATTACAGCCTTAGAAACCCTATTCTACCCTGTCCTATAGGGTCACTATGAGTCGGAATCGACTCAATGGCAACGGCTTTGGTTTGGTTTTAATAAATGTGATTG